CCGTTCCTCCCACCGTACCCCTCCACCCCGTCACGATCCCAAGCCTCGCTTCGTTTCCGTTCGCCAGTCAGGTCGTTGCCCCGGTATAAGCGTAGCACGACTTTTTCGGCCTCCACCCACCGACCCTCCCGACATAGGGCCAAGGCTGTCGCCCGCAAGGTCTCCACCGCGCCCTCCACTTCCCGAATGCGCAGGCGCAATTCCTCCTCTCCCCATACCAATTGTCGTTGAGGACGAGTGACACGATTTTTTTCAGTTAGTATGGCGGGAGGTGCGGGCGTGGGCGTGATAACAGCTCCGGCATGGGTAGAGCTGCTGAAGGTCCCTCCACTACCAGGTTTGGATCTACTGGGGGGGATGTGCATGCCGCCGCCACCCAAACTACCAGGAACAGCCGCAGCAGCCGCTGAGGCATGGATTGATAAATGGCTTGCTTCGTGGTACCTGCTATTTCCGCAATCGTGTGCACTGCGTCTGGGGATCGATGGAATAGAATCAAGGGTGGAAGCAATGATCCCATCTGGGGTCGACCCTGGCCGCTTCATCAATCTCCGCCTTTTTGTAACTCCGTCGATATACGTTGTGCCCAGAGGACAATACCACGGTACAAATGCCTGCATACCGCGTGGGAGGTGGAGAAACAGAAGGGCCGCGGTCCCCCAAAGGCTATAAAGCCATATCGAGCTGGCATACCTCCTGGTCCAACCCCGTGGGGGGGAAAGCCTACGCATCCTCCAAGCCACGCGTAAAATGTAAACAATGACGGCCACTTCACCCCCACATGAGCCGTATGCCTGCCTGTGCAGTGAAATAGCATGGACGTGGTTGGTATAGTTGTAGGGAACAATCCGTGGCCGGGTTATATTCCAGGGGTGCCTCCCGAGTGCGAGCTTTAAGTGCTTTGTTGTCACGCTGGCATCGCTACTGCCTCCCATTGAGCGAGACGTGAAGCTAGTCTGGCACGATATTGGGCCAATATCATTGCCAACGTAGCATTTTTTGCAATTTAAATTCATCTCTGATATTGCTTATTAACATTGTGAGTCGTTTGTTTCAAAGTTCGCAACTTTCCCCGCCGATAGCGCCATCATCAACGCCTTCATGTCATCCTTTTCCCCCTTGCACAGGGACCTGAAGTGATGTATCGTTACGTTTTCCGCCAGCCTATATTCGCCCTGGGCGTGCTAGGTGCCAGTATTGTAAATGTCGGGGACACAAGTGAAAACAGCAAGCATCCTCATCGTCCTTTAACCTCAGAGCGGCGTAGCTCGCCCCTCTTCCCCTTGCGGAGAACCGCATTGATGAAGGGAGCAGAGGCGGCCACCGCCGACGGAAGCCAGCCAGTCGACGAGCATGGGGATCATCACGGAGCGGGACAGGATGGGGGCGATAATGCGAGTTTTTGGTGGCAACAAAGACCGCGGGTAAGCCTCTGCTTCTTTTTCCTTGAAATGTTATTTGTCTTTAGTATGGTCCTCTGGCGCTTCAGACCAGCTTGTCCCCTTTCTCCTTGACTTGATGAGCCTTCCCACACCCTAAAACGTGACAAAAACGCAGAGAGATAACGGCATCGGGGGACACGTGGCACTTTTGCTTCGCGGTGCATGTTTTTTTGACACTCATCCTATAAATACCCCTCCGCCGTCCCCGCCTCCCTCTCCCTCCCTTCCCACAACTCCCTTCCCCCTCAGCTTCGACACGAATGCACGCAAGAAGGAAAATTCGTAAAGGGCTGCCACGAGCTGAAAATCTTCAGCGGCCGTTCTCACCCGGGTCTGGCGGAGGAGGTGGGAAAGATCTTGGGCGTGGCGCCTGGGAAGGCGGTGGTGGGGGCGTTCGCGGACGGCGAGACCCAGATCCAGGTAGAGGGAGGAAGGAAGGGAGGGAGGGAGGGAGGGAGGAAATGGTTAAAGACGTCTAGGGGGGTAGTAACGGCGAGTGGCCA